ACATTGGACACCGTCGACCACTGCGGACCGCCACGACGCCCCTCGGGAACTGATGGACAGGCGACTCAGACAACATGACTATCCGACCCATGACCCTGGCCACCTGACGTCCATAGAGTAGTACGTCAGTAAGTAAGTAAGTAAGCTTTTTATTTTATATACCGCCTTTTCACTGCACATCGGAGTCTCAAAGCGGTTTAAATTGTTGGATGGGGGTGCCAGTACAGGGGGCACATGCCATACGTATTGTACATTATTTTTAGTGGTAGGGAAACGAGCACCCGGAGGAAACCCTACGTGCGTAGGATTCCTCCGGGGTGCTCCCGGTTTCCCCTACCACTAAAAATATGTACAATTACGTATGGCATGTGCCTCTTGTAGGGCACCCCCATCCACAATTGTAAAAACCGCTTTGAGACTCCGATGTGCAGTGAAAAGGCGGCGGGCGGTATTATAAATTAAACAGCTTACTTAGCTTACTTAATTACTTACTTACTCGTGATGGACGTCAGGTGGGCCAGGGTTCATGGGTCGGATAGTCATGTTGTTCTGTGTCGCATGTCCATGTGTGGATCCCGGAGGGGCGTCGTGGCGGTCGCCAGTGGTCGACGTGTCCAATGTTGGGTTGTGTATTGTTCTTAGATGTACCATGATTTTGGTCCTCTTTCCCGTCATGATACTTACCAGTTCGGCCACGCTCCTGCGTTCACAGTTGGACGATGGTTCGCCGCGGTCGGAGCGAGGGGAGTGTGGGCGGAGGTACTGTCACGGTGGTTGCCGTTTGAAATAGCGGTCCTGATTTCCGCTGCGCGATCATGATCCGTTGGTCGCGCTTGGAGTCATGCTCAGTCCCTGTTGGTGGTCCCTACTTACCTGGTTGGATTTGTTGTAAGCGGGGTCGCGGCGGTTTCCCTAGTTTCCGCCAGTTGTCGTTTCCAGGTCACTCACTGTGTTTTGGAGCTTGCTTTCTGGCTTCGGAGTCGCGGCAAGGTTATCCTGGTGATTATGGCAGTCGTCTAGCCACTGGGTTAGGGTCTTACTTGCGAGTTTTCGTCGTAGTAGCCTTCGGATGCTAACATGGAGGTAGCATCTTGTAAGTCAGAGAGTGGAGCTGTGCTCAAGCGTGTCGTAGCCCCCCTGGGAATTAACTTCTTCTGTGATGGTCTCGCAGAAAGTTATCCACTATGCCGTGGTCCTTCTGAGACCACCGTAGTGCTTGCTCGGTGTGGCGAGTTTCCGCCATCGATTTCCATATTTGTGTGGGTGAGTGTATGCGGAGTATGACTGGGACACGTGGTGTGTACGACCACGGTGGCGAGGAGGAAAGGAGGAAAGCAGTGACTATAGAGAGGGTAGTTTAGCTGTTGGTCGTGTGGTGGTGTAGACCTTGGTGTGTGTCAAAAACCGTGGACTACAGCGTCCTCTCCGTTTGTTGTGGACGGTCAGTATGCGAGTAGGCGGCGTAGGACTGGATCAGGCGTTAGCGCTTCTCTTACCTGTGTGTCAATGAAGAGCGTTGGGGTTAGTGGCGTTGGCGCACGTTAGGGGTTCAGCAGTGACGCCCAGCTGGGTTAGCAGCAGCCTTTAGTAGTGTGCGCGCGTTAATCCGCAGCGGTAGACGCGGCGTGAAGAAGGCGCAAGGGCTAGCGTGAGGGACGCGGCGTCAGGAGACGCAGCGTGAGGGACGCGGCGTCAGAGACGCAGCGTGTATGGACGCGGCGTAAGGAGCAGCGTGATGGATGCGGCGTAAGACGGCAGCGTGATGGACGCGGCGTAAGAACGCAGCGTTAGATGCGGCGTAAGAGACGCACCTGCGTTTTAGGGACGCACCAGCGTTTAGGGGTGCGCACCTGCGTTTAGGGCGCACCTGCGTTTAGGGACGCACCTGCGTTTTAGGGACGCACCTGCGTTTAGGGGACGCACTTGCGTCTAGGGACGCACCTGCGTTTACGGACGCACTTGCGTTTACGGACGCACTGGCGGCTGAGCGCACCTGCGTTTGTGGCCGCACTTGCGTTTGTGACCGCACTTGCGTTTGTGACGCACTGCGTTTGTGACTGCGGCGTAGCTTTGCCGCAGTCAAACGTAAGCAGTAGCAAAAGGCCGCAGGTGAGGCAAGGCAAATCGCGTTTTATTGACAGGGAGGGTTAGAAATAGAGTATTAGTTTTGATGTAGTACCAAATCAAACGTAAGTAGAGTTTGGCCAGGTAGAGTGGTTATTCATTGGATCATAAAAAACAGCAGGCAACAAAACAGCCAGACAGTGATTAATGTTATCACCATGTGGCAGCAGTGCGGACTAGCCTGTGACATGCAGAGGACGGGCAGAATTAAAATTGATAGTTTTAGTGTAGTACAAGGAGCGTGGGGGTGCAGTATCTGTCAGTACATGGGTTGAACAATAACGGCCTCAGCAGAGCAGAAGTACCAGATTAGGATTAGTTACCACAGTTCATGTGTTATTCATAAACGTGCAGTAACAGAGGCACGAATCAAAATTATTAGCTTCACCAAGTAGCAATGTGGTTGTTAGGTAGCAACACAAACAGCGTGGAATGATAGTAAACAGTGTTAATGGTTACTACTATGGGCAGCAGTGCGGTCTAGCTGTGACCTGCAGTGGGGAGGGGCCGAATTGAAAGTATTAAGTTTTTGTTAGCAAGTAATGTGTTTCTAATAGCAACACTGCGCTAGAAGTAGCAGAGTTACAGCGTGAAACTTGGCAACGCAGTAATGTAGTCTAACAATTATGTGTAGAGGAGAAGCACGAAACAGAGTGTTAGCTTCTGTTCATGTTAAGCAGTTAATGTGGTCTAACAAAAAAAAAAAAAAGGGTGACATGCAGCAGAAATCGTGAAGCAGAACACGGCATAGGATTAGTTACTACAATAATGCGTTATTATCAGCGGCAAGGGGGGGTTGTGTGTGTGGGAGTGCAGTATTTGTTAAATCACCACACCAGATGTGTTACCGTAAACTAGCAGTAGTGAGTGAGCAGGAATAAAAGATAGACTGCGTTTCACCGAGCGGGAATGCAGCAGATAGGAGCAGAGTTTTTACAGCATTAAACTTGGCTAACGCAGTTAAGTAATGTTGTCTAGCAATGACGTTAACTGAGGAGAAACCAGAAACAGAGTGTTAGCTTTACAATGTATGGCAGTAATGTGGTTATATGAGTTTGGAGTAACAACAAGCAACGGAGAGTTATAGCAAAGCGTTTTAACGTTAGAGCCAAAGCCACAGATGATTAAAGACGTGGTGCCAGAATGAGATGTCAAGACAGCAGCAATGTGGTTACCGGAAGTAGTGCCGGGACCGGAAGGCCAATCCTGTGTTAGACAATAAAGAGGTGCGGCCCGTGTTAGCAGTATGCCGAGAGGCTGGGCGCCTTATGATCGTCTGAACACAGAACTCAGAGTGGATTGAGATAGGATAGTAGAAAGATAGAAAGTAGTGTTATTGTTAGACAAAGGAGGCAAGTGCAGCAGAATGGTGAATAGCAGTGGGGAAGCGGCTTGGCTTTTAGCACGCAGTGGCGGAGGCTGTTAGCGTCTGGCCTAAAAACAAACTGTCGGTTGTGGCTAGCTTGTAGATTGCCGAAAAGCAGCGGTTTTAGCAGTAGTATAGGCAGTAAACAGTTGAGTTAGGCAACTGATGCAGTAGTCTGGTTAAACGAGTGGCACTAGTTTTAACGGTAGCGAAGAGCTTATAGTGGTGAGCAGTAGTAGTAGGCGACACGGCGTTGTCTAGTGTTAGCTTTGAGGGCAAGTGGGGCTCCGGGCGGAAGTTAGCCTATGCTAGGGACAAAGGAGGGTAGCTAGCCGTTTAGCCTTTCGAGCGTGGAGCGTTTTAGCAGTAGTTTATAAACGAAATTCTGGCATGCGAGTTATTACCGTTCACATCAAGCACGATCACCAGTGGTGGATGGTGTTTGTCTGTATTGGGCAGTACAGTCTTGGTTGTGGCTGTTTGTACAACAGCAGGTTAGCGGTAGAGAGGGGGGGTGAGACAGGGTTAGCGTATAGCCTTAGCAGAACAGTAGCATCACATTCAAGCCGCTGCCTTTCACAGCCTTTCTTACACATATACACGGTTACAATCCTGTGTGACTTGGTCACAAAGGGACCACTAGAGTAGATCTGTACGCCCGTGTTCTGTGACACGGTGTACAGTGGGTTACAAGGATAAGTTTTTTTGAGCTTCTCTTCAGAGGGGGAAGCGAACTTTCAACAAACTCACGCCGCCCGCTGGCCAAGCGGGGCGAAACGTTGGGAGAGAATGCGTAGTACCTGTGCGCAAAGCCAGGATTTTGAGACTAAATTAATTGTCTGGGTGCATGCACGAGACGCTTTTTCGCCAAGCGTTAGGGCGTGGGGAGCTCGATTGTCGTTGATAGTCAACTTATAGCAACGGAGGTAGCAGGGAGGATGTGGGGGTGAGGGAGGTGGGGGGGGGGAGCGCTTTGAGCGGAGCAGTGCTTAAGTTAGCGTATTGCAGATCAGTCACAGGCGTACGAGTTGATTCAAATTGGTCTATATGCGCGGATCTCACAACCAGGGCCACCATATATGTAGGGTATTAAATTATAACAGTAAGCTATAATTTAGTAGTTGTGGAGCGGTAGTCTCGGATCAGAAACTCGCCGTTCCACCAATGGGTATGTCTTATTTATTTTGGGCACCATAGACGTTTGAGGGGTCTACGGGACACAGACCACCAAACCACTTTGCCTCGAGTCAGTTTATAATTCAAAAGGTAGTTAATTGTAAATCGGCAGGGGCATACCGAAATCTAACAACACGACTTAATAGGATTGAGTTAAAGAAAAGTGGGGTTTATTGATTACAAAAAGAAAAGGTAAAAAATATAACGAAGGGGGATTTCTGGTGACCATTAAAGCAGAGTGGTATACATTTCATTCAAATCACATTTAACAAGAACAGTCCTTACTTTGTAGGAGCGTAGAGGATTGGAGGAAAGGATTTGGGGTTGGGGAATCATGCCCACGTGGTTTCTTTGTCTGGGGCAGGCGGGAGGTACGAAGCCAGCGAGTTTGGTCCAGCTGCTGATCCACGGTATGCGCCCAGCCGGAATTGGGTTGCTCGAGTAGAGTCCTGGAGCAAGTAAAAGAGGTGTGAGTGATGGAACAGTTATAAGGACACGAGGCCCGTGGAGTGGAGAGTGTTGGTTTGCGGAGGAGTAGGAGGCCGTGGCGTGCTGCGCGGCCGTAGTTGGATAGCCACGGTACCGCGGGACGCAGGCTGGCCAGGGAGAGCTGGAATGGTGGATTTCAGGATGTGGACAAGAGGCAGTTTGTCTGCGTTGTGAGTGTTATATATGACTTTGAAGGGGGGCGCGTCCTTTGACGTCATCCATGTGCGACAGCCTCTACAACAGGCGGTTTATCAGAAAGAACACAAGAGCCAATACAGCCACCATAAACCATGTAACAAACACACGAGCTTTCCATCACAGCATCAAAACACCCCCGAGTAGGTCCGTTAGACGGTTATCGACATAATATACAGAGTCATGTTCCTTTTTTCGGTGTGTCCGTCCGGGTGCAGTAGTGTCCAGTGTCCGCTAGGGGCGCCAGAGGCGCCGGTGGGGGAAATAAGAGTCTCAGGTTGGGGAATGTCTCATGGAGCGATTGCTGAAGAATGATTCCTGATCTCCGTCTTGGGCCTTGGAGGGCCCACAGATGGTCTGCTCTGTTGTTTTATTGGCCCCTCTGGGTCTCCCCGGGGTCTCGATGCGGTGTTTGCGTGAATGTTAGCCTTTAATTGAACCCGCAGTTGCTTTGAAGTCTAGACGCTAGGGAGGGCATGTTTACGGAGAAAGGGTCTGCTATTCACACCCGATTGGCGCTCACTTTTCCTCACCCTACATTTGCAAACAAGACAAGGACTAACCATAAAGATGGATTTGAATTCATTTTGAAGAGTTCGTCAATGCATATAATTGTCTGTTTTTTCTCCTTGCAAAAAGGCATTCTCTCTTTCACAACTGTCAAAAGTGTGTCTCTTGCTGTAGAAAAAAAAGAGATAATTTTGTGAGAAAAGATTGAAAAATTACTCTGGGAAAGAATAATCAATAATAAGTAAGTAAAGTAAGTAAGTAAGTAAGTAATCTTTATTTATATACCGCCTTTCACAGACCAGAGTCACAAAGCGGGTTTACAATTGTTATTTTTGGGCACTTGTCCCCTCTCACTCCACACAGAGATGGGAGCAGGGGTCGCCGAACAGGAGGCGCATGCCAATCCTATTATACATATTTTTAGTGGTAGGGGAAACCGGAGTACCCGGGGAATCTTCTGAAATGTGTGGAAATCCTGTACACTTCATATGTATGCTTTTTCAAAACAACAAAACAAAATATGACCTTTTAAACAGGTCCGTGCAGCCTACTCCTAACACCTGTTTCTTCTTCGTTCGTTCAGGCACAACTCCTTCAAGAGACACCTGCCCAGACAGATGCAGGTGGGCAGTCTGGACTTGGGTTACGACTACGAGGTCAAAGAAGACAAACCCATGGGAACTGGTGGCGCATCCAACCTGAACTCTACAACAGAAGGCGCAAGAGTTCCGAAGAAGTCCTCCAAGAAATGGCAGCGGGATGAACTTCGGGCCGCAATCAACTTCTCTCTCAAGTACGGATACGAGAACGAGAGCCTAATCGTGAACCATCCTCCGAGCCGTTTTAGACTTGCAGCGAAGGACTTATGCGGCACTTCAGACCCGTATGTCAAAGTCTACCTTCTGCCCGATCGCAAGAAGTTCCAGACCAGGGTCCACCGCAAGATGCTGAACCCTACATTTAACGAGAGCTTCCTGTTCCCCGTGCCTTACGACGAGCTGCCTGGAAGGAAGCTGCACATGAGCGTGTTTGACTTCGACCGTTTCTCCAGACACGACATGATCGGAGAGGTGGAGCTGGACAACTTGTTCGAGTTGTCAGATCTGTCCCGAGAGACCAACATATGGAGGGATATTCAGTACGCTACCACTGTAAGTGCCCGAAAGTTTAGTGTGTGTTTGTCATCGTGCTTGTATTCTGAACAGGGTGTTTTGGAATGGATCATTTGGAATTTAGAATAAGATAGAGAGATCCTATATTTGTCCCACAGTGGGGAAATTTCAGTGTTGCATCACAAGTTACAGACATGTAGGAATGGGGAGACAAGATAAATGAATAAGAACAATTTTACAGCGAATTAAAATAGAATAAAATGAAATAAAATGTCCAACTCTAGCATAAAAAGCAAACATCTTTATCTTTTCAGCATTATAAGAAAGAAGTCTAAAATCTCCCCAACTTTAGCATGCATGGCCAAGAACTACTAAGATCATCTGTATTTGAATGCCAAAGGAAAGGTTTCTCACCATATCTGTACTTCTTAGAAAGTTTTCCCGACGTTTTATCGGCCTTCAAACCAGCGGACTTCTTCAGGAATGAATCTCAGACCGCGCGTTGGAGATTTGATAACCTGATGGGTGTGGTTAGCCACCCCTAATCATGATACTAACTCATAAACAATCTGAAGGTCTGTTGGAGTGTAGAAGGGGAGAGCAGTCGGGGTACACTTGCTAAGAAGTACTGATGATGGGGTGAGAAACCTACCTTTTTGCTTGATAATCCGCTGTACGACTGATGGGCTTACCACAAACTTGTATTTGAAATGATTAAATGTCATCCAAATGGAGCTTTCCAAAGAATACCCTGTCTTTAATTTTATGTATATTGCTCATAGGACTTTATCTATTGGACGGACCAGAGTCACAGCCTAATCTCCGCCATTCAACAAATGGGCCCAACAATTCTGCTCTACTGGAGCTATCCAAAAATGGCCGCAAGTGGTCCCGCCCACAAGAAAATTGTGAAAAAACGCATTCTGCGCATGCGTCAGCCGCCGAGGAGCCCCATTCAATTAACAAGTGCCTTCAAAATTCACAACACCTAAACTAGAGTGGTCAAAAAAATTCACCCCCTCAGCATTGGACAACATGTGGAACGGAGCTTTGGGCCTAGAACCAACTTTTGTGACCATCCTGTAATGGTGTTTTCGATAGGTAAGAAGATGCTATATGTTAAGCATTGCCTAATTCTTATTCCGGGGGGGGTCCACCCCCATCGGCGGGTGGTTATTGAGAGCATGTGCAGCTGTCAGACGCACGTCATTTTGACCACTTTTGGAGCCGGGGCCCGCCCCCACTGCTAGTGCTATAGCAGCTTTCCTATGTTATGATTCTGAAAGCCATGAATAGGAAATGGTCGGAGTTGTTGTACTTTTCATTGGAAGTTAAAGCTAGGGCCCCCAACTTGCCAACGTATGAAAATTATCCATCCATCATCATCTTCTTCCTTATGACCTTTTTGGGTCAGGGGGGTGGCAGTCAGAGCTGCACCCAGTACAAGGAGCACCAGCCCTCTCATGTCCTAGCAAGCCGACGTTGAATCAAGTAATTTGAACGTCGATGTCCGCGTATGAATATAGGTCATGGTGGGTGCAGAATGACGTATTTCTCGACGTCGTTTCCGACCGTCACTCAACCCTCAAATGTTTTCGTTGATGGCACGTAAAAATTCAAGGTTTGAATGTGGTACGGATCCGGTCGGGTCTGACGTCCTATCAACGTCTCATTTATGACAAACGATTGACGTTTATATGCGTTAGTTTTCAGTCGTTCCCATAAAGCAAGCAGATGTCAAAATATGTCATTTCAAGTCATCTGGACGTTCATTCAAGGTTTGAATGTGTACAGGAACCGTTTGGGGTGTCTGACGTGCCTATCAAAGTCTTATATGACCAAAATATTGCCTTCATATGACGTTCGTTTTCCGTTGTTCCCACTAAGCAAGCAGATGTCAAAACGATGTATTCATTTCAACTTCATCTGGGACGTTATCTGGACGTTCAAATGACGGACGCGGCCCACTTCATTCAAGGTTGCAATGTGGTTCAGAATCCGGTCGGGTCGACGTCTCTGCGACGTCTTATATTGACCAAAATATTGACGTTTTTATATGACGTCATTTACAGTCCTATTGACCTACTTATCCTCTGCCAGAATCACTCACTGGTCGAGACATACTTTTTGCAATAGGCAAGGCCAGTTTATTTGTTATAGCACAGGGTCAAAAACAAAAGGAAACTCAAAGCACTGAAAAAAGATAGAAAACAATCAAAAAACAAGGACATTACAATTATAAATATTGACAGTAAATTAAAAAAGATACAAATAAAATCTCTCATAAAAATCTCTCAGTTGAAGAGAAAAGCAGAAGTGTTTTAAACCTGGATTTTTTTTTTTTTTTTTTCCATTGTCAAAGAAGATAGCCTGTCTCACATTTCCAGGAAGGGGACCGTTCCAGATTTTAGCCTTGTGCGTTGAATCTGAAATGCAGCTTTATCATGTTTAGTTCTGACATGGGCAAATAAAACGATACCCACAGCATTCAAAAAATCATTAGAACCAACTGTAGTAGAGGATATCAGTCATTATTGCCAAATGGAGCTGCCTTAAAAAATCATGTTCTCTTACATCAAAGTACAAGTTAAGCACACAGGGCACATTTGTTATGAACACTACTGTACTGAACAGTTCATGCCAAAGTAAAAAAAACATGATTTGTAGCGCCTATGTTTGGGGATCAGTATTAAACCAGAACAAGCTACACTCTAGGTTCCCCAGATGTAAAAAAAACACAATCTGACAGGCCAGAAGAATGCATTTATTGAATGTTGATGTTCCAACATGTGTCCTCTCTTGTCTTCAGTCTCTCCATCACAAGGTCCAAGCCACAGCACCTGAAAAGTGGAAACATGTTTAGTTTCAACATAATGTGGCAAAGTTATTATAACAACTACATCACTTCATATTAATGCCTCAAACCACTCGATCATCACCATGTGATACAAACCTTGGCACTGCACTAGCTCGAGACACTGGAAAGACACTCGTTTCTGAGAAACCTTGGGATATGGCTTATGGTCTTGGAGTAATTTTCATTGTAAAAACAATGCCAATGTGCATTTGTTTTGCACGCTATGGACACAAATGAGCCCTGAACGCTATTACCCTGTATTACTCATACACATGTTGCATTTCCGAGTGGGCATTTTCCCCTTCGGTTGCTCTTTTCCCTCAATCTTGATGGTGGTTGGGCTGAACAATCTGAGAAATAAGACTAGATGTTTTCAAAGACGAATACACCCAAATAATGGTTTTATTCTAAAAAACAACATAATAATACAGAAGAAGAACAATCAATGTGTGAGAGTAGTGATTCTTACCTTTGAACACCTTTCAACACAGTCTTGAACTGTAAGATCTGAAACACACATGACACTTAGGAATAACATAGAACAATTAGTTATTGCAACAATCATGAAATATATCTATGGATTTCATCCATAATTGACTGCATTAGCAAAGGTAAATGTATTTTAATAAACATATGGCTGGTTTTAAAGTTTTATAGTAAAAAGTAAAGAAAATGAATAGAGGTTGCAAGCGCTAGTTAGCTTGCTACCCAGTCAGATGAATGGATCATTAATATTTGCAGCTAAATAACCAAAAATAACAACTGTAGTGGCTCATTTAAACAGGCCACAGTGAGAAGAAGTGGAAAAGTCTCGGACTTGAAGTCTGGGAAGACATTAAACTCCCAATTTATTAAACAAAGCAATTACATGAACATTAAACTCTCTTTCTGCAGCAGGTAACATCTGTGTGCTCCTATGGTCCCACATGAGTCCCACATGGTCCACACACCTGAATCAACTCCCAACTGATGACCTCATCAGGTGTCTAAAATGATGGGGAGTGTTCCCCAAATAATTCGAGTGATCTCCCGTTTTTAAACATAGTTTACTAAGTACTGGTTGTCATTTTGCAAGTTATAAACCCATTGTGAAATATACAGTAACTTTACAGTTTAGAATTGGAATGATTATTTTAAAAACTACAAGAATCTTAACCTTTTTTTAAACACCTAGTTTGTTGGACAGGTTAACCTAAGTATTCTAATGTGTTAAAAATAGTTTGAAAATATGAAAAAAACAATATCTAATTTTAAACGTTAACTTAAAAACTAAAAAAGGTGTCACCCCTTTCAGCTGAGCAGTGCCAGCCGTTATTATTATAGATTCATGCACTGCAATTCAAAATACAGATAATATACAAAATATACTTAACAAAATCCGCGTATACGTGAGAAAAGAACTTACTTTCCTGCTCCAACTCTTTTTTCAATGTGGCAAAATTGATACATCTATATCTAAAAACTGTGGCAGATGTTGTACTTACTAGAGGAGGGTGAATTCCAAGTAAATAAAGCAGTGGCAGCGACAGAGGTACAGATTCAAAAAAAAAAACGTCCATTATCAACGTCTGGGAAGGCATTGCTTTACGGTCCAGATGCACACCTTACATCGTTTAGACGTGGAAAACATGGTCCTCGACGAGCGACTCACGTTGTCAGGCTGTAAAGCCGAAGTTATACTGCGCGGGCGCATAAGTGTAGCGTCACAGTTGTTTAGGGTGTTATGTATTATGTTTTCACAGTAGTCAGAAAAATATGCACTGGTGTGGTGTAGCGGTTGGCGTCATGAGGACTTCTCAGTCGCACGACACGGGTTCAAATCCCCGTCGGGAAAACTTGTGACTTTTCACTTTTTAGCGAACAATTTTTCTGTTTGGTTAAAAACGAATAACACTCAACATAAGGTTATGGTTCTAGTGGCTAATAATAAAACTTGTGAACCCATGCATTTGCATAAAATCTCAAGTACTCACCCCATATTTGCAAACTTGAGATTGTTAGCACAAACAAATGCATACATTAAACAAGTTTTAATTATTAGCCAATACGTAATCCTATGTTGACGTGTTTATTAGTCTTTAACCAAACAGAAAAAAACTTGTTCGTTCAAAATCAAAACAAATATGTAAAGATACTAATCACACACACGGGGCTCGAACCCACGTAACCAAGGCTGACACACATGCCAAACACTACACTACGTCAGGTACACTGTGGTTGCTTCACAGCCGATATTCTTGTATTGCTAGCTCAAGAGTATGCGTCGGGACGCCGAAGGACCTGTTTTTGACGTTTCTAGGGCGAGGTCGGGATTGAACGTCAATCGTTATATGGGAGGTCATTGTTTTACGTCCAGATGCGCACCTTTGCACAGTCGTCGTTTTGGACGTAAATAAAAGGTCCACAACCGACCGACGCGGATTTTGACGTGATCTGGGGTGATTGTGGACGTCGGATGTTTAGGTGGAGTTCAGGCTAAAGTGGAGAGTTAAGTGTCTTGCCCAGGACACAACGACAGCAGTCATCAGTGGGATTTGTGAAGTAGGTCTTATGGTGGGTTTGAACCCACGACCTTCAGGCCCAAAGGCCAATGCTCTACCAATGAGCCCACTGTCGCCCCGTATGAAAATTAAATAAGATTTATTTGTGATGTAAGGCCACCTTGATTATATAGAACTGCGCTTAAGAAATCTAACATCTATTTAACTTAGTACTCGCTCTCAAAACAGTTTGATTCTTAGTTTGTTCAAAATTTAAAAAGAGAAGACCATGTTCACTCAGACATAAGCACTCAAGTCCCAAAAACTTCTTACTGGACTATTCTTACAAGAATGCAAAAGATATTTAACAAGATGACAACAGCATACAAGCTTGTACAAGAGAATTTTCTGTTGAGACAAACAAATGGATGATTTATAGAGAGCAAAGGTAGGGCATACCCCAAGTACTATCCGGCATCGCGAGTTACAATGTGTGGATTAGGGTTAGATTATAAAAAAAAAAAAAAAAAGATTATGCAACCAATTCATTGGAGATTTTAGGTATTTTAAAACAGTTTGTTGTCAAATACTAAATACGTTAGTATTTACGTTAAAGAATAGGACACAATTTTTGAGGCTTACATTGGAGCATTTCTTTCTCAATGACGCAATGTTTACTGTCACATAATTGGAAAATATGCAAAGGCTGATCTTCCAAAAGGGCAGAGCTCCGTGATCATATGTGGGGTGGTGAAAATATATTCTTAACAAATGCAGATAACCATGACTGACACGTTTCCTCTCCCTATCTCCAGTGAAACATTGAGCCTACGGATGTTTCAAATGTCGCCTGTAACTATAGCATCGATCGCATGCTCCTCTTTTTGTGACATGACTGAGGAGGTTCCATAGAAATGCTTATATCTGTTTCTCTGATATCGAACCGAGAGCGCAGGATGCACAACAAATCTTAAACACACTCACTTATTCAAACCAGGATATTGGAGTCCTGGTGCTGAGGTGAAACTGGACTTCATCTGGGGTCAGCCATTAATGCATTTTTTATTCTGATCCCCTCATTAAATATTAACACTACAGTTTTGAGCCTGCCTCAGTGAAACAAAAAGAACAGTGAAATCCTTGGAAAGG